GTGGGGTGCTTGCAAAGAGAATGTCATCCCAGTTTCTCTTTCTGGCCCTTCCCTGTGGTTGCTGCACAGAACACCGTGGCTGTGAAGAAGTGGGGGGAGAGGCAGGAGACGGGAGTCTGTCTGCAGCTGCCCCTCTCACACTTGAATAAAAGAACTTTTTTTTCAGGAGTAGAGAAGCTGTGAATACCTTTCCCAATAAGAGATGAGGCATATTGAAAACTATATTAAATTACCCTGATTAACAATTTAGCCACGAACAGGGGAGCTTTGGGAGATCTCTATAGGCAGGACTGGGGGCTATTCATGCCAGCAGCTAAGAGGTCGAAAGGTTTCTGAAGTTCACAGGCTCAGAGCCTTTGTTATGCTAACAGACAATCTCAAATCAGCTGCCTAGTGGAGTGTGAAATATAAATGATTCCTTGAGAACTTCCAGTAAGTTGTCACTCTTGCTCTCCAAATACCAGGACAGGCTGCTAATTTTTAGCAGGCCCTTTTGCAACATTGCTAGCCCTAAATGAATGCCTTTGTAGTTCAAATAATCTTTTCAAGGGAGCTGTCCTATCATCATAGTCCAAATGCATCTTGGTTTTGACTATTAAATGAAAATCAGGGCTCAGTCGTCCTTGACTTTTCCAAGCAGCCGATGTTTGGGATGGGTGGAGGCTGCTCTCACGCACAAGAAGTTAGTACCCACTGCAGGAGGCCCAGGGCATTAATAACAGCCACAGCCAGGGCTACCCCAACTCCAACCCCCACCCCTACCCCTACTAGGAACAATGCTGGAGAGATTTACAGGGGGCTTCCCTCAGGCTGGACTACTTTCCTCTTTCAGCTACACCAACCTTTCTCTGATTTATGGACCCTCTGTCCAAGAGGACAGCCACTGACCTGTTAGCATCTGACTGGTTACTTTGAAGCAGCAACCTTAAGGATGCATATATTCATTCTTCAGGGCAGATGAGGCCAAGAGGACGAGGACAAGGTGTATGCCCTTGGTATCGTGGACATTTTTTTTTCATATCCCCCATAATGTTAAAAGTGTGGCTCTGATCTTGGGGGGAATCTGAGTATGTCCAAAGAAATGCCTTAGCACTTCAAGTCTGAATCCAGAGCTCTGAAAGTAAGGAAAAATGCCAGCAGTGCAAACCCCAAATAAGGTCTGGGACTGATGGTGAAAACGTGCTGGGGAAAGTGTGGCCGAATCAGGCAAGCAAGGAGGAGAGACACAGCCCACTTAGAGAAATAAAAGCACAAAAGAAAGGACAGCCCAAAGGCTGCTGAGCTCCCGTCCGCATCAGTCTGCACCCAGGAGTGAGGGCAACAACTGCCCCTTAACATTTCGGGTAGCATTGCCAATTTCATGTTCTCAACTTCTAGTTCAACTTCTTGTCCAAACAGGGCAAGCTTCATTTCTGAGGTGACAAACGGGGGGGGGGGAGGCAAAAGAATTGTATCTCCTAATATATTCTCCCAGTTAGTTGGTAAACAAGAGAACACGTGAGCAATAAATTGAACCTATTCTCAGATAGCTTATAAAAAGATCTATCCATGCAAAAAAACCGAAGACCTTGAGTGTGCCTCATCTTGTTATAACTACAACAATTTCTAACTCCTATTGCTATAGACACTAGTGTAAGCAAACACTTTTTTCTCTTACAAGGAAAAGGACTTAGGACCATATATTAAAACATGGATTACAAAATAATATGAAAGGTTCTGTATCTTTCACCAGCTTAAAAATTGTCTAGCTATAGATTTAAATGTTATCTTATAAAAATAATCAGGATACAATGTCCATTTAGAAAGAACCCTGAGATTGAATTCAGAGAATTTAGTCACTACAGTACAAGTGTTTTAGATTATTCATCATTCAAATCCTTTTTATTTCAATTTTATAAGCTTGTAGGTAGCATTGTTTACGTAAATTACTTCAGGCTAGTAACGTTGATGGGATAAAAATTCACAGTTTCTTCAGTTTAATTTCAGAATTGGACAAGAATCTGTTACTGGCCTGCTTGTGCCCTTCTCAGAGGGACATAGCAAACTTGTCCTCCTGATTTCAGAGACAGCGATGAACTTCCAAATACACAAAAGGGAGGCGATATTGATCAATAAAAGATCAGTGGATGCACTTAAACTCAACTTCTATTCCCCTTCTATTAAAATTAAACTATACAGTGTCTACCTGCTGTTGACTCATACTGGGCATTCAGAGGATAAAAACTCACCCTGAGCTTTCCAAACTGTTATTTCACCCTTCCATGTGTCCTTCTGTCCTTTTAACAAATCAAGATAGGGAGGACATGGTTTTGTGTTAAAACTGATGAGACAGCATTTGAGAATGTGGAGAACAGTGAATGCCCGTTCCACTTTTGGGGGGTGGTTTGTCCCCCTGCGGTTGTTTTTCTTTATCCTTTGGTTTTGCACACCTTAAACTCTAGCCACTTGAAGAAAAGCGATGGTTGAAATGAAAAGTTGGGACAAATTTCATCCAGCCTGTGTTTTGCTGGAAAATGAGCAGGATGAACACAGTGTAGGCGCCCCAGCATCGCTCCATACAGAGAAATAAACAGAAAGTCTACAGAGCTCATCTTTTTGTTTACATTTATCTAAATGTCTATGATCTGAGAGAAAGAGAGTTCCCATTTTTACAAAACTTTCAAAGTCGCCATGTCGCTGTGGTGGGACATCTGAATGTGTGTGTTTGTGTGTGCAAGTGAGAATATGTCGGGGGGGGGCAGATGAGGGAGGAGGCAGGGCAGATAACTTTGCTGACATATTAATCCTTTAGAGAGCAGCAAATGAATGGCCCAAATAGACATTTGTTTCCCTGAACAGGTTCTGTGCAGGTCTCTTACAAACTGTGGCATATGCTTCATTTATATGTATATTTATTTAGGACGGTAGAGAATAATAGGTATAGTTTGTCTATAGTCGTAGTTATTATTTAAGTCCAAAGAGGTTACAAGTTTCTTTCTACCCCAAACACAAATACAAAGGTCTTTTGAATATGCCTCTTTCTTTAGGTTGAGGGCCAATTAAAAATAAAGATAATATTTCAACTACTGAGCCTTAGCAGAAGACAGAATGAGTCTACAAAGCAGAATGACTCCAAGATGGCTGCCTCTCCCTTCTTTCCCCTCCCAACAGCCTGTTTTCCACATAGAAATTAATGCAGTATTTTGTTTGGGAGCCACATTGTAGATCATTAGCAAATGAAGCAGCCTCTCGGAGGCACCAGCGTCTGCCTGCAGTATCCTCTCGGTGCCATGGATGTGTGGAGAGATTAAAATGCAAGCATTCAAATGCATTAGGTTTATGTAACTAGACTCACACACATGCACACTTGAATGTGTGAACACCACACACAGTCGCAAATAAAATCAAAGGCCCAGTGCTTTTTTAATTTTCAGGACGGAAGGTAAAGGAAGGCCTGAATACCTTTTCCCAGAGGTTAACAAAGGCCCTATTCAGAGCCTGTTGGATTTTTTTAAAGAAGATGTATCTTACTGATGACTCTCATTAAGCAGACTTCTGAAGTCTGGGGAGACAAGATTTCCATAAATTATCTCTCTACTCATCTCATGCTGCTACAAAATGTAAAGATAATTTTTTTGTTTTCCTTTTTTTGTTTTTTCTTTAAAGGGAAAATAAGAAGCTGTGCAGCTTCTTGACAAACATACTAAAGGATTATGATCATTAGGAATTGCTACCGTTAATTATAATAAATATGTACTTTCATCATAAAACACCACCCTTAGAGCCAAACTTAAAATAATGTAGGGAATAAATAAAATATAATAGGTGTTTTCTAGTAGTTCCCTCACAGCTGTGTAGACCAGAGTACACTAGTCGCAAAGCAGTGTAAATGGTTTAGTTCCTATAGGAAATATATTAAAGAAAAAAAAACCCACAAGCCTTTATCTAAAAGCCATCAGGGACAAGCACTCAATACAAGTTAACAAGCGGGGACTGATAAGATAACATTTATATGAGGTCAGAAGTCAAATGCCAGTCAAAGGCTTTTAACCTCTTGGGTCATAAGCAGGAACAGTTAAAAGTGAGAGGTACTTATTTATTGGATTTTAAGGCTACCTGACCATTGCCAGAGTATCACCAATGATGAAACTAATTGGGATTTATAGAAAAAGAACTTTGTAGCTATTCGAAGAAAATTAACCTACAAATTCACGATTCTTCAATTGGCACGAAGAAAAACAAACAAAAAAAACCCTTGTTTTGAGGGGAAGAAATCAACCCACTGATTCAAACAAATATAATAACAAAAAAATCCTCTACTATAAACAAAGTATGACTAATTAAACATACTGACTAAAATATCATAAAAGATGTATTTCTGACAAATTCTGTCTTAATAATCAAAAATTCCACAATTTCTTCCTGTTTTTTTCTTGTTCTTTTGTAAACCTTCAGACCCAATAAATCAGAATATAACGCCAGTCTCACAATACTCATATCCCTAGAATACCATCATTTGCAAATTTAAAATTATAAATATTCTAATAGCAATAATTTTAAAACATCAGAAAATTGAAACCACTTAATTAAATTTTTATCTCAATCTATCCAGACAAGCACATGTTTTCTTTTATTTCCTGCAGGAATATTTTTCTTTGTTTTGATCTCTCTCTCTCTCTCTCTCTCTCTCTCTCTCTCTCTCTCTCTCTCTCTCTCTCTCTCTCTCTCTCTCTCTCCCTTTAGGTTTAATTCCAAACTTCCAAGCAGTTCCTAGTCCCTGAGTCTATGCTCGTTTTCAAAGCACACCCCCTTTTTTCTTTTGCAATAGAAAAAAGCAGATCTAGATATTCCTTTCCAGAGACAGAGAGATAGAAGGACCGTTGTTAGGCCCGCTAAGGCCCACTGTTTCTTTAAACAGAGTCCACAATACACTAGGCGAACATTGTGGATTTAAAATGCTTTTAAATATTTATCACTAGTATTTTATCATCATATTCAAATGACACCTGGAGTGCACTCACCTTTATTGACAATCTCTGTTCTGAAAGTCCATTTGCTTCCTTAAAGCCCCCCAAGCAGAACAAGGACTACCGTTTTCATTCAGTTAATGTTTAGTAAAAAACCAAGCAACCTTAATCAGCATGCTGATTGCATCGTCAACTAACAAATAATTTACTACTCTGAGCATTGCATTCCATTAAAAGCTCATTAAATTTTCTGTTCTCCAATGGGAGGTTTAGCTTTTGAACTGCATGCTTTTTCTTCGAATGATCATTTATTCAATTTTTATAAAATGTAACCCCCCAACCCTGAAGTATAGGTGAGCATTTCAATACCTATAGACTGCCAACATGCAGAAACACAGCCCAGTCTTTGATAACATTTCATTTGATTTACAAAATCTTTTAAAGAAAAACACTGCACAATTGCTTGTACTTTCAGAACTCTGAAATACCTGAACTATACTAATGGTCTTTTTTTAACCCAAACATAGCTTCAACAATAATAATACCTAATATAAAATTTCAAATCCTTTTTTTTAAAGTTTAAATTTTCTTTCCCACATATTATAGCTATTGTTGTATTTATTACGTCATCCTCATATATAATTGTTGTCTACTGGTACAAAAGGGATGATGACACTACAAAGCTATTTAATGACAAACTTCAGCAGGGTGGCCAGTTATCTAAAGAAATCTGCATTTTTCTGGGGTTTGCACATTTCCTACAGATCCCTAGTTCTCTGAATTGTCTTTATGCCCAGACTCATCAAGAAAAGGGTATGTTTATTATTTTTAATTTAGAGAAATGTAGAAAATATTAGGCCACAAATTAACATGCATCTTTGGATTACTAATTGTGCTCATTGCAAATTTGGGTCATTTTGCATGAGTGACTCTAATGTGGGGCTAAGATTGCTGTGCAGCTCAGTGGATTCCTGATTCCCCTCGCTAATCCTGAACTCAGTGATTGTGTCAGGTGCAGTTCTGTATGCTCTAGCAGCTGGCTCATCCTCATCAATGCAAATAAGGCAACTCCTACAATCAGAGCCTCATGAGTGTGAGGCCTGATTGCTGAGGGCAGGAGAAAGCACTACACAGACTCTCACTTTCAAATCACGCTAAGTGACAAGACAACTGCAGTGTCCTTCCAGTTCAAAATCAACCTTTGGAAAACAAAACAAGAAGACGCTAGCTGCAAAGAAGAAGAGAGCCCCGGTGTTGCAGAAGTGAACTTGTTCGGAGGGTCTTTATTTAGATACAGATATAATGTAAAGTGTGTTTCAACAAATAATTGTTTGGCTCCCCTTCTGAGCAGGCTTTGTTTTCAGAGCTGCAGGGTTATGAGAAGGTAAGAGAGAGCAGACTCTGTCTCCAAGAAGCCCTATAGTTTGATTGCAGAAATCTGTAATGATACAGATAATAGCAGAACTGTTATTAAGGAGCAGTCACTAAAAATCTTAAATGCAAACCAAAAACCGTATTTTCAAGGGAACTATTTATAGAGGGAATCATGATGGAGAAGTCAAGAGGAAGGCTTTGGAAGCTTCGGGTTCAAATCCCAGTCTTGCTTTCTACTTCCTCAATTAGGTTTCTTCACCTTCCTAAACTGCCTCATAACATACCCCTGTACCTACTGCCCAGGGACCTTAGAAAATGGAATGGCATGACCTAAGCATCACACCGTCTGCTTAGCACCTAGTAAATGCTCAGTGATGTCGGTTATGTTTGTGATTTCCTCCTTAGTTCACAAAGAGAGGTGCAAAACGGAAACAACAGTTTCAAACCACTGTTTGAAAGATATTCATGTGATGTTGCTCGAAATTCCCATGTTGCATGTAGCACTTACCCTGTGGAAGGAAAATACTGTGAACGCTAAAAGCCCTGTGTCTCTCAGTGGTCTGGCCAGTCCTGGCAACTCAGAACATAAAGGAGAGAACACAAAATCCCCGTGTTTTCCCTTTTCTTCTTCTCCAAACAAGTGTGCAGATTCCCCTGCCCTTCAGCCCAACCCTCTTTATTTTACTGCCTGATCTATAAAAGGGATTAACAGCAGCACGCAGCTTTGGCATGGAGCAGATTCTGGGATTCTGCTGGTGGAGTTTAATGAACACAGTTTCCTAGGATTGTGAGTGCATATTTCTAGGTGCATGCTGGGCTCCAGCACAGGCTCTTGAGACAGATGAGCAATCCTTTGATCAGGCATACCTGATGCTCCAGAACCCAGAAAGGGGTTACAGAGGGAAAAGGTCTTGCCTTTCTCCTCATCTGTAATTTGCACTCTGTAGATTCAGATTCTAGATAACTTCCCCTGATCCCCAAAGTTGAACTGCACCTTGGAGATAACAAACACCATTGTGAGAATAAGAGGTACCTCTGGCCTGCAACAGATCTGCTTTCTCTATAGACAGCATGGCTGATATGGGGGTCTGTGGTTGGCATTTTTCCCCCTTGGAGAGTAGGATGGAGGTAGTTGACCTTCCTGGGGGAGATTGGGCCTAGACCACATCATAGACACCATATCCCCCCTGGAGCTACCAAACAATAAAACTGCTTCCTCTGCCAAACACAAAGAATGGTCTGTGGTTGGATATTAGCAAACAGTGAATCATAGAAACAAGAAAGGAAAGGAGGGAAGGAAGAAGGGAAATTACATCAAGAGAAAAGCATAAAATCAGACTTATTTTCTCCTGCCATTTGCCACAGAGACGGCAGCCATGCAGTCCTGTCTTGCTTTCTGCCTGTGCCAGGCAAGAGATGAAGGGATTTTGATGCCATGCCAAGCAGGTCAGTAGTGAGGCATGAGGTCTTCTGGAAATAGCAAAGATTTTAATACCTGCGATGGGGAGAGTCTTCGAAAGATGGGAAGGAGTTTGATCTTTTGCCTTTCTGTTCAGGACCCTTCTCCTTCTCTTTCTAATAGGATTAACGGATATTTTCCTAAGTAGAAATCAAAATGTGTCAAATCATCTGAGACAGTCAATTTGCTCACAATGCCCACATTCCACAGTACACACGCAACACTATTCAAAACCGGCTTCATTTCAAGAGACACAAAGCAGCCGAGAGGTAAACATTTACCTTCAGAGTCTTACCCTCCTTTCAGTCTGTTTAATTTTTCCTAGTGATTTTCCCCTCCTCTTTCACTACCCTCCCCAACAATCCCCTCCCCAACTCTGCTTCAAAACATCTAGAACAAAAAGACATGACTTCCTGGGAGAATTTGTTCTCTGTGGTCCTGATGATGCAATGTGCATTTTCCTTCATCTTTGGGGACTCCGAAGATGTGTTTGCACATCCAGCCTCACGGCCCAGTGGTCCTTACTTGGCATCACTCACAAGTCACCCTGGAACACCACAAAGGTCACTTCTGCCTCTTCTGCCCATCTCACCTCAGTTGTCCAAATTCATCACCCACCCCACGCCTGTGCTCCTTTGTCATTGCAGTCACGACTATTATCATCTTTTCCACAAGCAGGGCCTCTTCAGCCTCTCCGGGGAAGGCACTAAGTTGCCTTATTTTGCCCCAGCTTAACCGCCCGCCCGTCCTCCCCGCTCCTTTTGAATAGTACAGACCCATGTCACCTTGCGACAATAAATGACAGTAGTGAGAGAGGGGTTTCAACTTCACGTGCCTGGCATTCCTTAAAAAACAAATCCCATGTGTTTTTCCTCCCTCCCCGTCTTTCTTCTTTCTCACTGAGACTCTGCAAGAGAGCACCAATTAGATGGTCCAATGTAAACCCAGACTGGTTGTCTTATTTTTTATATTTGAATAGCAGATACTTAGCAAGCAGAATAAAGTCCAGATTCCATTTCTGTTTTCACATCACTTGCTATAATAGGGAATTCAGAATGTTCTACAGTGGTCCTCGGTGTGGCCACTACTGTGACTGATAGAACCTTTAGAGGTGGGCTGTGTAAAGAGGGAGGGGTTTTAAGTCTTTGGAGGGAATTGTGAGGACCATGGTTTCCACCCCTTACTTTCCCTTTCCATGCTGGCCAGGAGATTCCTCTTTCTTTGCACTACATCTGTCTACCAGGCCAAAGTAGGAGAGACTATAGATCATGGATCAGAGGCTTCAGCATTTGAAGCAAAGCAAACCTTTTTTTGTGTTTACTTACCTCTTTGTTAGAATGAAAAAAGGCTGACTAGTTCACCACCTATAATTTCAGTGTACACTGCTTTTTTTTAAAGTGCTATTGACACATGCCAGCTGCCTGTTTAACCATGATTTCCCACCTTCCCATGAATCCAAAAGTAATGTATGTGTTCATTCCACCTGAAAGCTCCACCCATCATCTCCTTTCTGACCTGTTAAGATCCAGCCCATGTGCCCTCTGGGCGATAGAGCCAACCTCATAGAGCAGCTCTCTTCCCTCTTTCCTCCTCTCTTCAGTCACCTACTGGAGTAGAATTTCTATTCTGCATATGGCTGTTGTCTTCCTGCACAACCACACCTCTAGTCCTAAAACATAAAGAACTTACCTCCTCTATCCCAACTGTTCCACCAACACCAAGTCCCACCCAGTGAGGCTAGTGAGTGAAGTAGATGTCCCAACCCTTGGCCTGAGAAAGCTGCTATTGACTCACGTGCCACCGTTTTTCATTTAGATCTGATAGTGATCTTAAGGTTTCCCTCGATTAGAATTTCTGATATATTAACCTAAGCACTCACTTAGTAAAAAAACCATATCAAGATGGATTGTAAAGTTAGAGATTAAGAAGTATTACCTTATATTTGAGTGAATAAATCATTTCCTTTACTCTTCTGTTTCTAGGCTGCTCTGGAATTGGCAACCAACATCTTGGAACTAGTGCCCTGGACACAGTGGATGGATTCACGTGCTACTTCTAAAAATAGTTAAAGCACTAACAAATTGTTTACTGTATCAGTTGGCATTGGCTTGGAAATGAGTTGGTGTGCTACACGTGTTTATAGTTAGCTTTTGAGTCATTCTTATTATTTTGGCTCTTATCCATGAAGGGTGTTTATCTTCAAAGAATCATTACAGCACAGCAAATATCCTACTTCATATGTTAACATTTCCTTAAAACCATACCTTGTTCTCAACCTTATCACTTCAGCATTGAATATTTTTTTTCTGATAAGGCAAATGACACTTTAGCCTTAGTTAATGTAAAACAGGG